ATCATACCCCGAAACCAATGTCCAAATATGCATCGGATAGAGGTGTTGGACGCATGAAGAACACCCAAATCTAAGAGACATAACCGACAGCTCAGTGTTACATTATCTAACGTTACTTTCATCCATGCATAGGGGAGAAGAAAGAGGAATGCAAACTCAGATGATAACTTGACAGATCTTGAGCATGGGGATGCAATACCGGTAAAAGCGGATTTCCTTTTTTTTTCGTTTAATGTCACATGAAATTCTATATTAACTGATATGTTAATGAGAGATGATTTCTTGAGACTTTCAGGCTGCAAATGTGAGCTTCACCAGAGTACTTTCACTTGTAAGTAGCTGAGATTCGTCATTTGTTGTTATGTAAAGCCATAAACATGGAAACTTTCGGGATTTTAACATTATACCATGTAACAGGCAAAGCCTGATGCAGGGAAACTCATCTTAGCAACAATTGCTCTCTTGATTGCTTCCACTTCAAGCATACTGATTGTACGCATCCTTTTTGTACTACTTATCGGTTCTCTCAATTTTACGGACATATGAAGCTATTTGGAATGAGAAATTAAGGATAACTAAACTTATTAATGGTGATGTCAATGGTTCATTTCTACAGCCGAAGTTTGGAGGGAGGATAATCGATATTGTCTCGGGAGATATCAGAACACTGGAACAGAAAGCTGAAGCATTAGATGCAGTTAGGAGCACCGTACTAGAGATTTTCCTGATTGTTATAATCGGGTACAAATAGTTTCGACTTTTATGCTATTTATATAACCTATCAGTTTGGTTTTGATAGAAGCAAATGAATATTTTTCAATCCAACTGCATCTCAAGGGTTCATCATCTTTTTATTGGTTTTGTTTCATGGTTTCAGTTCGGTTGCACAGCACTGCGAGCGTGGCTGTTTCTTCTGCCAGTGAAAGGGTCGTTGCTCGATTGAGAAAGAACTTGTTTAGTCATCTTATTCACCAGGTACAATATCTATTAAACTACTGTGACAGATTTCAATCATATGAACTAATGTTACAATGGTTGATGAGTTTTGCAGGAGATAGCCTTCTTTGATATTACTCGGACTGGTGAACTTTTGAGCAGGCTATCGGAAGATACACAGATCATAAAGAATGCTGCAACTACCAATCTCTCCGAGGCCCTAAGAAACTTGTCGACTGCATTCATTGGCCTTGGTTTCATGTTTGCAACATCATGGAAACTAACATGTAATAGTTATTTTTAATACTCAAAGCAATGTTTTGAAGTTTGTATTTATTTTGGAATTGTTCCCACGTAACCTTACCTTGTTTATATGTTCTAGTGCTGGCTTTGGCTGTTGTTCCTGTAATTTCTGTTGCTGTTCGTCAATTCGGTCGCTTTGTTCGTGAACTTTCTCACAAGACACAAGCTGCAGCTGCAGCAGCCTCTTCAATTGCTGAGGTTTGTCTGTCATTATAAAATGAAGTATGCAGAAAATCTATGTTTGTTTGAATTCCTGGAGTCGAACCAAAACCGGTCAAACCGTTATACAAATCTGTTTGTTACATATATATTATACATATACATATTCATGTTCATGTACATATGGGACCTTCAAAGTATTTGCAGCACACAAATTCGAGCACTATTCTATCGATTATTGAGATTTTGATTGTCATAATATCTTTTCTGCTGTTGTTTGAAGATATACTAGAAACTAGGAAGCCTGTACCATGTATATTAAGATATCTTCTATCTATACTTGGAATCAGGTGTGAGAGTCAGATAGGGAATGTGTCTGACACGGGCAATGTTCATTATTGCCATGATGGCACACCTATGTCTAAAACCAGTACTTAAAGCAAAAATGCAAAATCAAAGCAACTAGTATCCTATTGCTCCCTTTTGTTGAAAATCAGATACAAAGTTTTTGTATGGTTGTTTAGGAATCATTCGGAGCAATTCGAACAGTGAGATCTTTTGCGCAAGAAGAGTATGAGATATCTCGCTACTCTCAGAAAGTAGAAGAGACACTGGATCTTGGACTTAAACAAGCAGTGAGTTCCCTAGAGTTATTCAATCCCTCTTCTTTTCCCTTTCTTCCCCTGCGCGATGCGGCAAATAATCTCATCTCTGATTGCAATAGAAAGTGGTTGGCCTCTTCTTCGGAGGCCTAAATGCTGCATCGACGTTGTCAGTTATCGTGGTAGTTATATACGGAGCTAATTTGACAATCACTGGTTCAATGAGCCCCGGTGCTCTAACGTCCTTCATTCTTTATAGTCTCACAGGTATGGCCCATGTTTCCTATATTTATGTATATAAATGTGTGTGTATATATATTTCATCATCAAGTTTTCCATCTGGTATGCTGGTTTTCTACTCTCATGAATTCGTTTGGGCTATTCACACTTGCAGTTGGATCTTCCGTGTCCGGACTCTCAGGGTTATACACTGTCGCAATGAAAGCTGCAGGAGCCAGCAGGCGTGTCTTTCAGCTTCTGGATCGAGCCTCATCGATGCCGAAATCAGGAAATAAGTGTCCGTTGGGGTTAGTTTGTCCTTTCTTAATGATTCTTTTATATGAATATGTGCGAAATCAATGGTGAATTATCAATTTCAGTCATGGATTGTGTAAATGGAAGTGAGTGCCAAAAGTGACAGCGCATTCTTCTATTTCAGTGATCAAGATGGGGAAGTTGAGTTGGATGATGTCTGGTTTGCCTATCCGTCCCGTCCTAACCATATGGTACTCAAGGTATTCATCTGTTCATATATATCGTAGCAATCACGTAATGTCCTGATATGAATGATCTTGCGTTTAATATTACATAATGCATTCGGTTTTTTTCAGGGAATAACACTTAAACTGCAGCCAGGATCAAAAGTGGCTCTTGTTGGCCCTAGTGGTGGAGGAAAAGTAATACCTTTATCCGAAGCTTTCACACTGTTAATAAACATTTACGGCTTATTTTTCGAACACTATTATTGCGGAACATTATACCATTTACTCTGTCTGCTGCAGAGCACGATAGCAAGCTTGATCGAAAGGTTTTATGATCCGATGAAGGGAAAGATTCTATTGAATGGGGTTCCATTGGTAGACATATCACATGAATATCTTCACAGAAAGGTAGTCTTGATTTTCCTAACTTCTCAAGTCAATCCAAAAACATAAAATTTACAACAATCTCATAGATTTGGGGTCGTTCAGAGTCATATCTCGATACCATGTTCTGGTATGTGTCGGATATGAATTTCAAAGACGGAACATCGTAACTCAGTGACTATCGGGATAGTATTAGAATATGATGAATATCCTTCTTTGTTGTTCAGATCAGCATAGTAAGCCAGGAACCTGTTCTTTTCAACTGCTCGATAGAGGAAAATATAGCTTACGGGTGTGAAGGCCAGGCCGATATTAATGATATTGAAAACGCAGCAGTAAGCTTTTTTGCATCTTTAAGACTTATAGTCTACAGGAACCACTATGCCAGTGTGCATTGACATTTAAATGTTGAGAAATTGCAGAAAATGGCCAATGCACATGAATTCATATCAAAATTTCCGGACAAATATGAGACTCATGTCGGAGAGCGTGGAGTACGGCTTTCGGGGGGACAGAAGCAGAGGGTAGCAATAGCGAGAGCGTTGCTGATGAATCCGAAGATTCTCCTACTGGATGAAGCCACAAGTGCTCTGGATGCTGAAAGCGAATACCTTGTGCAGGTGAGAATATTGCATCACCCATATCCGAATCTTACTCATTTTAAGAAACCATGTTCTTAAATTGTTTAGTTCATAATTCTCGAGCCCTCTCCTTGTTCGCATATTGAATAGGAACCAAGGCTTTTCTAATGAGATCACATGATCTGAATCTTATTCATCGAATACTTAACTTGCTTAGGCTATAATTCTCGAGTTCTCTGGTGTTTCGTGTAGGATGCCATGGATTCTCTGATGAAAGGAAGAACCGTTTTAGTAATAGCTCATCGGCTATCGACGGTCCAAAGTGCAGATACTGTGGCAGTTATTTCCGATGGACAGATTGTTGAAAGTGACAACCATGAAGAGCTTCTTGGCAGAGATGGTGTTTACACTGCATTGGTTCGAAGACAATTACAAGCACCAAAAACAAACTTGTAGTAGATAAAATATTCTTATGTCACTCAAATTTTGTATTGGGCATGGATACATTCAGTTTTCTCAATATTTTCTTTATATATAAAATATTCCAAGTGGATCATATATGATAATTGACGACAATTTTAGACCCAAAGAAACCTTTTTACTCTCAGGACGAAAAGTCGTCAACATTTGAAGACGTTGTTGATAATTACGGTATAATTCACCCAATATCTCTAAATATTTTCTTTTAAATGCAATAAGTCATTATCCTAAGGTGACCGCTAAATCTCAAATTTCATAGTAAGTTTCATCTTGTTGTTCTTATTTGATTCGTCATATTAAAATATTGAAAATCTCCCTCAAAAGTCACACAATCACCCAAAACGTTTAAATTTCTTGAATCTCGATCTACGTCGTCCATCGCTAGATGATCTCCTTCATGAGATATGTTATTTTTCTCACCAACAACAAACTCTCCACCATCCATATTGTCGAATGTAACCTTGATCTTCAAGAAACTCAAATCATTCATTTGTAACGAAATTAATTGAACGCGTTGTAATTTACTAATAATAGGGTGACATGTGGTATAATTTACGCAAACGAGTTAATCATAAATATTTTCTAACAACACCTTTTAAATCCATTTGAGATTTAATGATACAATCTCTTGATTGATACAATCGAGTAATTGAATGACTTGATTATAATTTTTGAAATATGATGATTTATTTGTAAACTTACTGATAAGAGAGTGAGCTAGGGTGACATTTAACCAAAATAAATTTACAATTGAGTAGTCATTAACTGAATTTAAAAATTAAGCGAGAAAATAGAAACACCAATGAAACTCATAAGCAGAAATCACATCCAAAACTCAGAGGACTAGTTAGAACCCTGAAGGAAAAAGCTTCGATTAGGGTTTATAAACCCCACAAAAACACCTTTGTTTTCCCCGAAACAATGTTCTAGACTCTATAATCATCAAAATTCTAGGGTTTTATGTTTCTTCTCCCGTCTCCATTCCCTCTCCCACTTTCAACTGGTAAGCCACCGTTGCTATGATTAGTTTCGGCTATTTTCTTATTCATTATTCATTAATTTAGTTACTCGGATGCTGTTCTTCTGGTTTAATTATATAAAAGATTTACCTTCTTAATAATTGTTATTTATGTTTTATATTTGCTGTTTGGTTGCTGAGAAAGTCGATGGTAAAGGAGCGGTAACAAAAAGTTTGAACTTAGCCTTTGTGTAGTTTTATTATGGATTTGAATTGAAATTTTATTTCTCTTCCGAAACTTGGCTTTTTGAAGCTTTTTTATTGAATGCAGTTGAATTATGTATGTTAGAAAGGAAGAAAAATGATTTTGTTTCCTTAATTTGTGACTAAAGGAAGCAATTTGATTTTTGATCGGATATATAGTACTGCTATACTGTGCTTAATATCGAAAAGTTAAAGGGATATGCTGTCAGGGAGTTCTGAAGTGCAATTCGAGCAATTTGTTTCAAGGCTTCATTTTATCCAACAATGCATTTAGGGAGTTCTGAAGTGCTATTTGTTGTTTTTTGGTGTTGTTCTGCTTCCATGTTGGATCTATATTCTTTTGTCTGTTGAGAACTGACTTTTACTGAGTTGTCAACTTTATAGGTTTATTTACTTTCTGATTTCAATGCCGATTTTCCACAGGTGATTTCGAGACTTGAGTTGAAGGTTATACCTGTGCTACCGACTTTTGTTCTAAAGCTGTTTGTTTAAGTAATACTATTTTTTAGATGTATGTTCAAGGGAATCAAAATCCTCAGCCAGGGCAGGGTCCTCAAAAACCCATATCATCTCCATATCCACAGCACCTGCCTGGTCCATCTCCTCTACCTCAATTCCAGCTAGGCCCTTCAAGCTTTACATATCAACAGCATGGTCCTGCTGCACCTCATCAAATTCCACCTGGTGGTAGATTGCCAAATACAGGCCAATCTTATCTATACCCACCTTTGCATGTTCACGCAGGGGCCTCATTGCCTCATCTGTATCTGAGTGCTCAACAGAACTCACAACATAATTCACAGTTAGGTACCCAGAATGCACTTAATATGCCACAGCCAGTGCTTCCTCCTATTAGTACATCTCACCCAGAAGTTTCACAGACCCAGCCACCTCCTCCATCACCTCCTAGAACATTACCTCTTCCTCCACCTCCTAGAGCATTACCTCCTCCACCACCTCATAGAGAATTACCTCCTCCACCACCTCCTCCTCAATCTCAAGGGCAAGTATTTTATAGAGCACCAGTGAATCCACCTCTGCAATGGCCAGGACTTCAGCAGTTATCATCACATTCACCTTTTCCTGCTACAACGAGTTTCTTCACTTCAGCTCCACTTGGAAGCTTCACACACTCAACAAGCACAAATCATCATACTGCTCCACATCCACTTCCACCCCCACCCCCACTGCCACTGCCACCTCCACCCTCCTCTCCACTGCCTATCCAACCATCTCCTCCACCTTCCACCTCTGTTTCCATTTCATCTTCTAAGCTTGCCCAGAATGATTCCAACTTGCCCTGTAATCTGGATAATGATGGGTCTAAGTTAAGTACTTCAGGTTCCATGGACGACGCAATGACTCCAAATCAGGTCAACCCTGATTTAATTGCAGATGATGACTCTCTGAATAAGGTTGGGGGAAATGCCTGCAATGTGGGTTTTATGGTTGGAGATAAGCTATCTTTACAAGAAAGTTTGACTGTGGATGTATCTTCCCCTCTTCGTAAGCCAACAGATAAAAATCTCATTGAAAGGATTAAAGCTTTATGCCTGTGCATTGCTAAGAATGGTCCTGATTATGAGGATGTGGTTCGTAAAAATGAACATAGCAACCCAGAGTATGCATTTCTGTATGTTGGTAAACCCGGAAGTGAGGATGCTATAGCGAATGACTTTTTCCAGTGGATGAAAAAGAAAAGTATTTTGACCTGTAAACTAGATGAACAGCAAGACGATTCATCTTTGAGGCCTTCAGAAAACGTGTATCCGGAGCAATCCTGTCCTTTGGTGATTGCAGTCGCATCTCATTCGCCTGGTGATTCTGACATGGAGATGGAAGGTTGGCATTTTTACTATGTTTGTGCTTCCTAATGTTTACAATCTCTTTATCTTTGGGTTATTGAAGTTAAATCTTTTAAGTTCATATAAAAAAATGTCCATTCACATGTTACGAGCTCCAAAAGAAACAGTACTGATCTTTTTGTGATAGAATTTCTTTTGAAGTTATTAATGATCATCGTAAACACAACAGAGAAGAAATTGTATTTCATTATGTATATCACTTTTTCTTATGAACTGTATTCTTAAGTGTATTTTCTAAGCATCTGTTTACCGTTGCACGCTGATCTTTTTTTATATTTGTTTATATATTCTGGTTGGTGTTTTCAAGATGATATCACCCAAATTGATGAAGACCAGGGAATGAATCACTCATCCAAAGGCCTGAACAATCAGTGTGATATCAACAACAACATGCTTAATGTAGAAGAGCAGTTATACTGTCACCCAGTGCAAATATCAACAGATGGCAATGAAAACAAGGACATTTTATCAGAAAAAGAATTAGCTGCTGGCAGTTCAAGATTGGGTAAAGAAGGTCAATTTAACATCTATTGTCATATTAATCTTTCTTAGGTTCTCTCGTTTCTTGCTTTTTCAATATATATAGCTGATGGCTCCAGAATGCAGTTATTATCTGATTCTGTAATGTCCCAGAATGTTCACTGAGATGTCTTTATGTCTTGTAATTTTCTCTATCTATTGTATGTTTAGTGATTTTAAGAACTTTTTTCCTGTGCAATTCAGATCCTAAAGGTATAAATGCTGACCAAATGACATTTGGTGCATCTGTTTCCAAAACTAACTCGATCAAGTCAACTGCACCTTCTAAACAACCTCTTGTCATGAGTTTGGAGAGATCAAATACTTCTGTTCAACTTGCAGAAAGTGGCTGTCCATTCAGACTTATCCAAGACTATGCTTCTGATGACAACTTAGAAAATGTTGAGGTTGGTTCTAGTGTTGATAGTGATAAGTTACGAAAGGAATCTAGGCTAGTGGAAGAAAATATGACTCTTGGTTCTCATCATAAACTGGATAAGTTTGGGCGATTGATCCGGGATGGTGCTAGTGATAGCGACTCAGATGATTCTTGCTATATTGGGAAATATAGAAGGGGAAGACCTCAGAGCAGAAATCAGAGCCTTTCACCTCTAGATAGAAGGAGAAAAAGTCCACGGAGGAGAAGGAAGAAGCGCAGCCTATCTCGCAGGTTGTTGGTTTGTGGTTTTGAGTTCATCTTATTTTTTAATTGATCTTTAAGAAATTTGACTTCTTAAGAATGTTGTATTCCTTACGTTGCAGTTCTTGTTTATGATAGGTGGAAAATTTTAAATTTCTTTCTTGTTGTTTTAGTTCGTCTCCCAGAAACAAGAGAAGCAGGAGCAGGTCTCCCAGAAACCGGAGAAGCAGGAGCAGGTCTCCCAGAAACCGGAGAAGCGGGAGCAGGTCTCCCAGAAACCGGAGAAGCAGGAGCAGGTCTCCCAGAAACCGGAGAAGCAGGTCTCCTAGAAACCGGAGAAGCTGGAGCAGATCTCCCAGAAACTGGAGAAGCAGGAGCAGATCTCCCAGAAACCGGAGAAGCAAGAGTAGATCTCCCTGTTTTCAGCATACAGATGAATTCTGTGGTGAAAAGAAAAGACATGTGAAGGGACAGATGCCATTCTGTTTTGACTTCCGTCGAGGCAAGTGCTACCGTGGAGTGTCTTGTCGTTATATGCACCACGACTCTGGCAAGAGTTATGAATCAAGGCGGCAAAGGAGCAACAACAGCATCTGGAGTTGCCTCATACTTCTAGGACTAATAATGTTCGTGAAGAGATCAAGCAGAGCTCTGAGAAAAGAGAAGATTCTGGTGATGGAGGTGTTCATTATCAAGATATTCAATCCAATGAGTATCACATGGTTAACTCTGATAGATCTGGAGGCACCCTAACCTCTTTATTCGAAACACACTTGTTAGAAAAGAAGCAGGAAGGGCCTAATCCTGCCAGTTATGAGAATTGTCTAGAAGCAGCTGCAGACTCTCAACACCTGTCAACTATGGATAGCTCATCAGTTGGCAAGATAAATACACTGATGTCATGTGCTAATGCTTCTCAGCAAGTACCTACTTCTTTGTTCAGCCCTTCTGATCCAGTGTGTCAACATGCTAATTGCCAACCTCAACAATCAGATAACTCATCCATGTCTGATTCTTTACCGTGTAAAACATCAAAATCATCGCTAAATATGCTTCCAGACGGTAATGTCATCCACATGCAATGGAGCTCCATAACCGTCCTTGCCATATATCCTCCCCTTCTGTCCTATGCTCACATGGTAAAGATAATGAACGTATGAAAGAGCAGCAAACTTCATCTTCTATGTTTCAATCTTCTGGGGAAGGCTTTCCTTCTTACATGTTACCTAGCCAAGAGTCTTACTTTGCTCTACAGCCAAATTCGTATATGACTTCCTTACCTCCAATTCCACCACCATCTGTGGATTCAACTGTAACTCCCAGTGTTTCTTCACATTTTCGGCAGAATTACTTTCCTTTGAGGAATGATATTGGTTCCCAGATTGTCCGAAGTCCTTACCTTACTAAATTGCCTGCATCTTCTCAATCTGATGGGTTTCAATTTCAACAGAGAGCTTATTCTCCAATTCAGGATGTTAATCGACCTATCTTGCAGGTTTCTTTACCTGTGTGTAACCTGACTGGAGCTCCTAGTATATCAAGAGATGATGGTTTAACACAACCTCCAACGCAGAATGCTATTGCTTCAAATTCCTTTTCCCAGAGCAATATTCATCGTCATGCTCTGCCATGTTCACAACAGTTGATGGGAAACAAAATGCAACCATTTTCCTCTGAGAGTGTGCCACCAGGTGGACTTTCTTACTCATCTGCATATTCATCCCTATGCACAGCAGCAACCACCTCACAGTTCACACCACCCTACAATTGATGGTATTTATAATCTTGGTGGAAAGATAAATTCTTCGCTAAAAGTTCCACCAAATATTGGGACACCCCACCCCACCTAGTTGACATTGGAGGATCAAGTAGTTCAATTCCTAATCCAAATGTATCGACTCTCTTCAGCCAATGAATACCAAACACAATTCTGATATTCTCCGGCAAGAAAAAGATATAGCCTACAGTAAGACTCCTTTCAGTTTGGCTAATGGTTCAGTGCATGAGAGAGGTATTGTATCTCAACAAGCAACTTTGTCACCCTATTCTTCCAGGGCCTTTCGGCAGAATTCTCTTAGAACAGGTTGTGACCAATATGATCCACTCATTGATAGCATTGAGGCATCTTCAAGTTTATCGAGAAAAAACAAGTGTATTCAAAAGTTGGAAGTAACAGGTGAATCTGACATTGTATTGGGGCTTAGTGGTTCCAACAAGCCACTGAATGTGGGGGAAAACAACAATAGGAAAGATGCTGCAGCTGCTGCTTCTGTGGCATCTGCAGGGAAGGAAGAATTTGGTGAGACTGCTGATGGTGAAGTTGGTCCGTTGAGATTGGAAGGCCGAGTAATCCTGTTGAAGTTAACATGGCTACTAGTGAGGTTGAGATTGACCAGGTAAAGTCTCCAGGGAAGAGCAAGAAGAGCAAAAAATCCAGATCAATGAAGCATTTCAAGGTTGCCCTTGCACGTTTTGTGAAGGAGCTTTTAAAGCCGTCGTGGAAACAGGGCAATATGAGCAATGAGACATTTAAGACTATTGTGAAGAAGGCTGTTGATAAAGTATCAGGTGCTATGAAGAGCCACCATGTGCCCAAATCACATGAAAAGATTGATCGTTACATCAAGTCATCTCAGCAGAAATTGACAAAACTTGTGATGGTAAATTTTCTTTTTGTTCCCTCCTTGTGGTGATTAGCATAGCAGTAGCGTCAATTTACAGGATGTTCTGCCATTTTGTTTGCGTTTATTATGTTTCATTTTTGTTGGGTTATTTTAGTTTCTGGTCTGAGAACCCATCATGCTTAGAATCAACCACAATCTTCCTTATAGAATAAGTATTTTGCAATAGGGAGCACGTAGTAATGTTTTATGAAATCTACGCCTTTAGTGATGACCAATCCCTTTCTATCAGACTTCAGTCTTGATAACGACTTCTCACATAAAATCTTGGCTCAAGTTGGATGGAATAATTCTAAAGTGAGAAAAGATTGCTGCTAGGATTGGCTAAAAGTGTAGCCTAGGCCCTACAGTAAGGTATGGAGCTGGAACAAAATATAATATGAAGGGAAAAGTCAGAATCCCGATGAACTGATTCCCTTTTTTCGAGCTGGTTCTGAGAAGGATCCGTGCATTGGGTTCTGCCGAATTTCAGTTATTTTAGTTACAGTTTATTCTATAGTTATTGGTTCAAGAAATCAAGTTTTGGCTTTTCTTTCATGAAGTTTCATACAGCGTAAACTTTTGGTTGGAAGATTGATTTGTAACTGCCTTGCATTTTTGTTGATGATGATGATTTAAATTTTCAATTTGGTATCATTTTCCTCATCATTGCAGGGTTATGTCGACAAGTATGTTCATGTGTAAGATGGCATCGATGTTGATCCGAAGCACTTTCATCAACAGGTGTGTTCTTTCTTTCATACCTTGATCTCGACTACTATCCTCTGCCCTTGAAGCTTTTGCAAGTTGGTAATTCATTTTGTTGCGGTGGGTTGAGAAAAAGTTCAGAAATTTTCGAGTTGGTGGTGATAAAAACTCTGTATAGTTTGTAAGGTCAGGATAATTTTATGAGAAGGGTGAAAGTGAAAGATATTGTTACGTTACTCGAACTCGGATGTGAGTGTCGGATATGTATATGATGCACATGCTTAAAAAAATGACGAGTCAAATTAACATAAATATGTAATGTTGGCTGCCTGCATATCTCCAACCTTTTCTCATTGCTGGAGGTTTGATAAAATTCATTAGCCAATTGTGCTGTCCATTAACTTTACAATAAAAAGAACAACTTATTAATGTCGAATCAATTAATAAATTATTATAAAATATTTGGAGACAATTTGACTAACAAATTATCAATTAGTTTAAGTTACAAATCAATTACGAAAACAATTAGAGCATCAACATAAACGATTATATAATTTTGGAGCAAATTAATTTGGTTCAATTTACATCCTTAAATGCAACCACGATTTATTCCTAATAAAAAATAATTTAATAATAAGAAACACCAATTAAGTATATATTTTAAAACATAAATGCAGGGTTTACCGACCCTAAATTCTATATAAGAATATAATTGCATAATTTTATTTAAATTTAAAAATACGTTTATGTCTTTCTGAACATATATTATCTTATAATCATATTAAATTATTAGAAAAAAATATGTGTTTGTCATCTAAAGAATATTTTTCTAAGGAGTTCTTAAAGGTTTCTTTAGGGGAGATGTTTTATCCTCCAACCTTGGAACATTGTTTCAATTGTTAACATCCATTAGAAGGAAAAATTCGGTTATTAGTGCATATTACGTGACAATTTTGATCAGTTAATAAAAGTAATGGATGATATACTGATTTTTTTTCAGATTTTAACTTTATTCAATTTAATCTTAAAAATAATTATTCAATCCGAAATTGATTTTATTTATTTATTTATTATTTTTAAATATAGTCTGATGTTATTTATAATATATTTTAGGGGTAAACTACACAAATGATCAGTGATGTTGGAGTAAGTTTTCATTTTTTCCACTGAAATTTCAAAACTAACAAATTAGTCACTAACATTATTAATTTATAATAAATCAATCACTCAACGTTAACCTCCGTTAAAATGAGTAACGGAAAGCTTACCTGGCCGTTAACCGCCGTTAAAATGGGTGACGGAAAGCTTACCTGGCCGTTAACTGCTTACCTGACAACGTCTACTGTTGCACTGGAAACCCATTCCTTGTTGACTGGTCACCTCTTAAGTAAAAGTGAAAATCTTCAAGACTTCAACCTAGCTTTGTAAACTTGCCATTGTTATGCATCCTTTTAAGCATTTCCTAGGTCCTCCACAACCCTTTCAACATCTTCCATTAAAGCTTCAACATCACCTTGAACCTCCATTAAAAACCGCCTCAGTTGCTCCACCATCATGTAGAAATCTCCTCCGGCTGTGTTCGTCATGAAAACAACCTTCATATCATCCGGAAGTCTTACCTCAGTGACCTTGAATTTTTTGGGGAAACAAATATACATATTATAATCTCCCATGTAGCCCATTCAAAAACTAGCCTTGAGAAACCCGGTTGAACAATTCTCAGATGTGAGCTGAGCGATGCTGCTTGAAGTGAAGAAACGTGAGGATACAACGAAAACCTGGGTGTGCTGGAGATCGAGATCGTGATCCAGGCTGTTGCAGGTAATATGGTGAGCATTGTGAGTCCATTTCCACTAGGTGATGCTGATCTCGGTTAAACAATTCCCATATATGATTTGGGCGACCTTGTTGTAGCCACACCCACACCTGTATATTACTTGGTAATGGTTGGAATCGTGTCCGACGTATGCGCTTTGCATCCAAAGCAAGCCCAACAACAAAGTTGAACCCAGATGCGCCCACACGCTATGACATCTCAAAACACCATAAAGAAAAACGAGAAACATTAGAGCTACAAATGTAGGTGAGAAAAGGGCAACATGCCCTTTCTTTTCGAACATACCAGCTTCAGTAAACTAAGAGACTAGTCTCTTGTAATCTTTGGCCACCGCGTGCTCTGTTGCATTGCTTGATACTTTCATTAGTTTCCCAACAACCCTTTGTAAAACATTGAATCCTATCATATCTCCAAAATATCTTTTTATTTTTTTGCGTGTCGATAACACTTCCAGTAGCTTCAGTGACTTTTAGGTTATCGAAATAATGGTTTTTTTGTTAGGATAAAAGGTTCTTTGTTTATGAGATTGATTGGTGTTAAATTAGTTTGATTTCTATGCGTTTCAGCATTGTTATTGTGATCAAATCAGATAAGTTCGCTTCAATCAATCTTGGGTTCTTCTATTTCCTTAGAGATTTCACCAGTTCGGGGATCAATCCCTCCTTTTGAGTTATTTTGAGTTTGGATTCTTCATTGATCGCTACAGACTCTAGTAATTGAATCGATGGAATTTGTGAATATGAATTTCCTCTTTGCCAAACCAGAAGATTCGTCGACAAGCAATTCGTTTCCAACAATGCATTCTTATAAAAAATGTTTTTTAACAATAAATCCAAAATCTTAACATTCCTCATGAAA